TATATATATATATATTAGAGGAGCAAACAACAATGATATTTTATCCAAAATTAAATTTCTTTTTAATTATGTAAATTAATAAAAATCATCCAACTATCTTCTTTGTTATTTGATAGATCAGTTGGAATTATCAATATAATGGCATCTCATATTTCAAACAACTAATTTTAAATGATTCAGAGTTTGAATGCTAAATTTGACAAAAATTCACTTTGGAGTATGAATTATGTTTTCAAGTACGATCTGCATGCTCAGCAAAAAAATACACTTGAAGTGAAAACACAATCTCTTGTGCATCCAAGTCAACTCTTGCATTACTCTTGTATACCGTATTTTCAATTTATTTTTTACTTTACTTTTGGTGTGTGGTTATACAGTAGAGCATCGATTATCCGAATACCGATCGACTGAAACATCAGTTAACTGAAAGCATTCCAGTCAGCAAATTCAAATTTCTGCTAGTGCTGCGGTGATGCAATATTTGTCTATGTCTTGGGCTACTCCAATATTAATTTTGTTGGTGTGCATGTTTTAGCTGGCAGCACTGGCATGACCATGAGAGGGTACTTAATGACACACCAGTATTTGAACAAGGCTTTTTATTCCCATCATGAGTGGTGAGTTTTGCTTGTTTTGTTTAGTGTTTTTCTGAGGACTGTGTATCAGGATGTGTGTCATGCTGAATCGGAATCCATTTCCACTGGGGACATTAATTTTGGATCTATGAATTCCACACTTGTAACAGATTGTGCTGTAGTTATTGTACCACTCACAATGGTGACTAAACGTAAACGCATTATTCTCAGTGTTTCCGATAAACTTAAATAATAGATCAATTGAAGAGTGGTGCTAGTGGATCAAGCTTAGCTTGGGAATGCGGAGTTGAAAATGCCACAATATCGGGCATTAAAGAGTGATGCCATTAAAAAATTTGCAAGTGTACTTGACAGTGAAGAAGGAAGTTTGCACAGAAAAATTATGAAAATGGCAGAAAACCAGGATTTGGACATTGCAGTTTTCACATGGTTCATGCAGGTACGTAGCCAAAGACAACCAATAAGTGGCCCTTTGATTTGTGAAAAAGCTCTTGAAATGAACAAGAAACTAGGGAGTAATGCTGATTTTAAAGCAACTACTGGTTGGCTTATGCATTTCAAATCTAGGCATGGAATTAGGGAAATGGACATCCAGGGTGAATATGTCAGCTGATATGGAATCAGCTGAACATTTGAAAGTGTCATTTAAAAACATGATTGATAAGGAGGGCTACAAAAAAACCAATGTGTACAACGCAGACTGGTTTGTACTAGAAGAAAATGTCAATAAAAACCCTAGTTTCTAAGAATGAAATGTCAGCACCTGGTTTTAAGGCAAGCAAATCACATATCACAGTTATGGTATGAGGAAATGTTACCGGAACACACTGGCTACCTTTGCTAATCGCAGGAAAGTCTAAAAATCAGTGGTGCTTTAAAGGAATAAAAAAATTGCCAGTCACCTACAAAAATCAAAAGAATTCATGGATGGATACAGCCATTTTTATAGAATGGTATGACACTGCATTTATCCCTTAAGTCAAAAAGCATTAGTTTAAAACTGGGAATTCTGGAAATGTTTTGTTGTTGATTGACAACATCCCAAGTCATCCCTCAAACATTTCACTGGAAAGAGAAAACAGAAAGATTGAAGTTGTTTTCTTGCCTCCCAACGTTACTTCAGTCCTCCAACCAATCAATGACCCTCTGGTCCATTTGCATATCGTAATAATCGGGGAAGAATGTGAAAAAACAATTCAGCAAGTGCACTCTTAAAGGATGCTATGTACATGGCAGCAGAAGCTTGGGCTACTGTAAAGGACACTAGCAACAACTTGGAATAAGCTCCTACCATCAGAGGAGTCTATCGCTGCACCTGAAGAGCCACCAAACAGCCAATTTGTATCATAACTGTTTGTGTTAATTAAAGAATTAGCACAAACAGTTGGATCTGGATTTGAAGAATTGCGACAAGGAAAACATTCAAGACTGGTTTGAGTGTGATGTCGATGACCCTGGCTATCAGGTATTGTGGGACGATGAAATCATTGTCAGTGTCACCAACAACCAAGACCCTTGCGACGATGAGGAAGAGCCTAACGACAATGACTGTGCTGAAAACGGATCATCCAGTGAGGAAGCTTTTCACTGCCTTGAGATGGCTATGAAGTGGTTAGAACAGCAAGAAGAATGTGATGCTATCCAATTGCTGTCTTTAAAATGTGTGCGAGATTTAGAGGCAAAAAAATGAGTCTCAGCTATGAAGCAAAAGACAATTTTGGACTTCTTTTCCTAAATTTTTATGTAATGTATGTAACTCGTTTCTGCATCGGAATGTTTTTGATACTAGATTAACTTCTGAAATATAATTTTTTTTGTTTTTATATTTTTCAATATATTTATTTTGTTTGTGCAAAATAAAGAAATAATTTTTAACGATACAATAACCACAATTATTAAAAAAAAAAAAAAAAAATGTTGTTAGGCTTAACATCAACGAAAATTCAACCCGAAGCGACATGCAATGGAGAAAAATTTCAACATGGGATAGATTAATATATTTTTTGTACATGATCATTTATCTGAACAACCCCAGTCCCAAATTGTTTTGGATAATTGATGCTCTACTGTATATATATATATTGTCTGTTATTAGTCAATTTTTAACAATTTCTTCCTGCAAGTTTTCTTTGTCAACAGCTTTAGGAACCCTTTACATTTTGTATCCTTTATGAGACATTCCAATTTTCAATGCTGACTCAGCACTGATCTCAACATTTGTTAAAATTCATTCCTTTTTTCAATGTTGAGGTAGTGCTGTTGTCAGTGCTGACTCAATGCACAGATATGTTGACTGCTAGTTTCCTATGAATTGTGGGTAATTGGTAAAACAGTTGAATGGAATTATGGGAACTAAGCACTTTGTACTCGAGTTGGAACGTTGTTGATGATGTCAAATTGTTGACTTCAACACTCAACACTCACATTGAAAATTGGAATGTCCTGTTAGTTAAAAATTTCCTAAATGAAGTTTTGTAACTTTAAATGTATGAAATGAAGTTTCAAAACTTCATTTCACACAGTTAAAGTTTAGAAGCATCTTCACCAAATACATTATTGTTTGTACATTGTTACATTCTCTCTGAAACTCGAAGCATAATATGCCTGATATGCTTTTCACCTGAAAACATTCAACTTGATTTTATTCAAACAGCATGTGAAGTAAGGAGTTTAAAATAAGTTTCTAAACAAAAAATACAATCTCACATTAGTAATAATGTGTTAAATTTCACAACTGTTATAATTAAATCACATATCTATGCTAATTATGCTGTTAAAAGTACCCAAAAACATTTCTGTTCAACCCAATATAACCTTTACTTATTAACCATGGCATCCAAGAAGTATATGGAAGCAAAAAAGCCCAAGAGGAAGATTATATTATTGACAATGGAGAAAAAGAAAGTTATTTTGAAGCATGAAAGATAATATATTTATGACGGATCTGGAGGCCTCGTTTAAGATACCAAAGTTGACGGTGTGCCATCAGTAAATACACTTTTCATTTTATATAGTATTTATGTATTTTATTGTTTTTACATTTTAACATATTATTAAGGCATTTACTTGTGTTATTTTAATCTTAATTATGTGTAATTGCTGTTTTAAATTTATTGAAATGGCTATTGCTTAAGGTTTGGGAATGAATTAATTCACTTTCAATTATTTCTAATGGGAAAAAATTGATTCAGATTTTTAATTGCCTCCTGGAATGAATTAAATTTGAAATATGAGGCACCACTTTAATAATTATCTACGTGAAAAACAATAACAGACCATCTGCTGAATATTTTTATAATTGTTAATTTCTGTTTCTAAAACCTGTTTTCATGATGGCTATTCTAGTAAATAACATTAGTCATATGCTCCTTCCTACAGTCTGATGTGTTCTTTGCAAGCTGACATGTGTCTTTGTAACTATAGAATCCTTTAAAGCAGAGATGCTTGGTGTAGGAGTTGTCTTTGGATGCTGACCTGTACTCAGTAAAAAACTTCTGGCCACATGGTCAAGAATTGAATTCAAGTAGGATAATAAACCACAGGAATTTTAGAGGTAGTCTGTCCTGGATATGTCAGGTGTGATCCTCACTACTTAGCTGCTCCATTGTAGGCCTAGCTGAATCCACAATGTGGGCACCAAAAGTGCTCTTAATGCATACTTTATGCAAATTTCATTATGAGTATCATTAAATATGTACACAGTACATATTTATATTTAATGTACTGTGTACATTATTTAACTTTTTCAAATTATTATATTTAAATTAACACTGACAAGTGCTTTTAACTCTCCATCCTATGGACACTAAAAGGGCTTAACAAACCCATCACAGGTTTTGCCAGTGTGGAGTGGCCAGATGGTGAGGGACAGAGTTCAACATAAATAGACAGACTATCCCCCAAAAAATTTCTGGGGTTTTTGGTCTGTACAGATTTGAGTTCCTGGTCTGTGGTTCCTGGGTTCCTTAGAGCAGTAGACCATCTGGCCATCATACAGTGACAAGTATAACTAACATTTAAAATATTTTCAAAGAACCATATTTTCATAAAACACCTGTATTTAAATGAAAATGTTTATATTGTTAAAAGTTATTCTCAAAATATGTTGTCACAGTTAATAAACAATTAAACACATACCTGATACACAGAGAGCACATTAAGTATCATGCTTAGTAATGACAATATCATTATTAATGATATTGTCATTAATAATGACATAATGATTTGTAATTGTCATTAATAATGAATATAGTGATTTGTAACGGCAATATCATTATTAATGATATTGTCATTACAAATCACTATATCACTATCATTATAATGCTTCAGTATGAATGAAATCTATATTTCAATATATTGACAGTTATTTGAGAGTAGCTTTATATTGTTGTAAAATCTGTAAAATATAAACTTCAGTAGGAAATATTCAGTACTTCAAAAAATTTTAACACTAATATGAAAATAACATATTTGCTATATTTGTAGTGGCAAGATGTCCTCTGCATAATTCTCCATTATGTATGAGAAGCCATGATCCAATTTTGGAGTTCTCAAAAAGTATGATACTACACTCCTATTATAGTAACTGAATACTTTCTCCATATAAGTGTTAACATTTTTGAAGCACTCTATACAGTAAATGACAACTGTATTTTGAAGAGAATTATAAACTGTCAAAAAATGTTAAAAATTGTAAAATAAAAATCAATAAAATAGTTAACATCTCAAGAATTGCAAAGAGCATATGTAGGATTAGGTAAATTTAAACAAATTTGAGCTATACAGTATTAACTTAGATTTATTCCACTGTATTATTTTAGTTAATTTTCCTTAGTATTTTTCATGTAATGTATTCTAAAAATATATGTATCTCAAGTCATAATAAAATTAACAAAAATTTTTTATTTTTAACATTCTATGGCAATTTACATAATTACGTTGGAATTTCATAACTGGCTGTGGTTAAATTAATCAAAGACATTATTAGCAAACTTCAGTCTCAAGAATTTATCACAAATATCTTAATATGATAAACAATATTAAATATTGAAAAATAAAACTTACATGTTATCACCACGAATTATATATAATCCAAGAACAACCTGTTCAACACCTTGTGTTGAACTATACACTCTTTCATGACTTTCGTCCAGAATTAAATTAATCGTTTGATCAAAACCTTTTAATGTTCCCTAGTATTTAAATAAAAATAAAATATAAACTCCTATAACAATTTGAAATAAATACAGGGTATCCCAAATTAAACTTGACATTTCTCAGCTGGCTACAGCAAAAACTATTCATCAGAAAGTCAGGAAACTTTTGGAAATGCCTTAATGAGATGATGGAAATTTTTTCTAAAGGAAAAAAGTTAGTTTCAAAAACCATCACTAGAGAACATATTACAGCTTTATACAGAACTTAAATATCTTTTAAAACTTTCTGCTCTAAAAGATGTGGTGGCCACTTATCTGTTCTAATCACCATCATTGAAAGCTAAGTGTATTAACTTTAAAAACTGTAACAGGATATTGTGTGTGTGGAGGTACATTTATGAAAAATTGGGCAACATTAATGTATATTAATTTATCTCAGACATTGGGTACATCTTAAAAAATGAGAGAAATCAGAGAAATGAGAAATCAGCCTATATATGAGAGGGTTATGTATTTATGATTTTTATTTTATCTATTATATTAATTTTTGTATTTGTTGTGTGTTGTTCAAAATTTTTAAAAAAGAATTTTTTCAAATATGTTTTGTTTGTTCCAAGCATTCCATTTTAGAATTTGTTTCATTAAAAACCTGAAGCTGGCCTTGGATAAGGCTGAAAATGTTCAAAGTTTTCATTAAATTCACGTTACTGGTGTTTAAAGGTTATTGATTGGTTTGATTAGCTCCTGTAATTCGAGAAGATAGTTTTAATCTGAAAGCTCCATAGGAAGTCTAGCCGATTACATAATCCCTGGCATCATTCATCTGATGAAACATCAATACAAAACTTCACAATACCCTCAGACAATACAGAACCAATATCTCAAACTATGCATAGGCCTCTCCCACTCCAACCCTCCATACAGCAAACAAACCCACAACCAGGTTCCATCATTGCATTATCAAAAGTATACATGTACTCTAGGAAAAATAATATAGGTCCATTACTTAGTGAGATATTACAAATCATTCACTCAGATAAAGATATCTCACTCAGCAATCTCTCTAGTATTGATACAAATGTCTTGTACCTGGATACATCAACACAATATAATCCAAGACAGCTGCATCCAGTATAACATCTGTTCTGAAGATAACAAGAATCATCTCATCCTCATGAATGGTCTAGCTTTCCAACAACACAACTTAGCCCAAGAGGTTCTTCAAGCTAATTTCAATGAATGGATACATCATCAGAAATATGAATACTAATTGCTACAGACAGTTCCAAAAATAATGAGTCTGTCACTGTGGCCTATATCAACATAATGAATAACATCTCAGTACATTTCAACCTACATCTCAAAATGAGCATCTTCACGGCTGAGAGATATGCCATCCTTCAAGCAATCTCCTATGCAGCAAAAGTTAACAAACAGACCATCATCTACACCAGTGTTTTTCAACTTGTGGGTCGCGACCCCCAGGGGGTCACAAAGCCTTACACGGGGGTCGCGGGGGGGGGGGGGGGAAAAA